AGAGGCGGGGCGGGCGGGGGGAGGGAGTCGAGGAAGAGAGGAGACGTGATACGCGGCTTCGGTGCGGGAGACGGGATCGGGCAAGGAACAGGTTTCTTCGACGCAGAAGGATCGCTGGAAGGAAGTCCTGTCGAGCGAGGGAGATGAGCAGGAACAAGCGGGGATTTCGTTTGCTGCCGAGGAAGGAGACGAGCGGGAGCAGAGGATCTCATTTGCTGCCGAGGAAAAGAATTAGGCCTGCTGGAGAAAGAGCCGTTACGGGACAACATTGGCGGGGAAATTAAATACCTTCCTTGCGTAGAGGAGGATTAATTGGAAAAGAATTAATCTTCATTATATCAAATTCTGATGTAATTAATGATATATTTGAAATTTGAATTTTGAATTTTGAAATCTGTGGGCTGAAATAATTAGCCCGGGCTTAGGCCTTATCCAGCCCAAGTCAAACCCGAGTTGAACCTGGGTTCAGCTCGGGTCCGCTAAAAAAATGCATTGATTTCCGTGTCATTTATGCACGTGTGGAAGCACAACAATATGGGTGTCTTTCCTAGCTAAAATTGACGTTCCGGACGCGTTGGTGCGGTCCGTTTCGCCATCCGGGGTCATCCAGACGAGTTTGCCGACAGGCGAGTCGATTCAAGTCAAAGTCGTGTGTGGTGCAGTGAGTGCGTGAATTGCGGCGTTCACGAGTAATCGAGTCACAAAGGGTTCACCTAAGGCCGTATGATCCTGTAGGAACTTATTTTCGGGTCCTCTACATGCTGGTCCTTAGCCCTTGCAATTAGAAGTTGAGTGCTTGGAACCACTCATGCGAGTTCTTCTCAAAAATGAGTAAAGAAGCGGTTTGAAGTTCTACGGGAGGTGGGCTCCATTACTAGTCCGCTGGGATGGTCAACAAGAACTTCTAAGGCTAGATTTTAGGTTGTAGGAGTAGGAAGTTATGACCTCACTAAAAATGAGGTCAACAGTTATCTTCACCAATTTTGTTTTATGGATATAAACGTTTTCAAAACTTGAATATGTCAAAACCAATTTCTTTATGGGCTTAACTTGTGAGAAGTGGCCTTCTCAACCTATTTCTCGTAAATGAATTAATTATAAACGTTTTGGTAATTTGCTATAAAAATTTGAATAATTGGTGTTGGCTTCATCTAATTCAATTTTATGTAAATTTTCATCCAAGCACTAATCATCTTTTAGGTTTCTGACCACTTATTAGAACATTGAATCCCAGTCATCAACAACTGGTTTGGGAATATTGGTTCTGGTAAAATATCAATTTTTAAAATTTCCTAGTACTAATTTGCGGAGTCAAACTGCTGTATATATTCATTTCTCCTCATTCTTTCAGATATATCAGGTCTAACAATTTTGTACAGGACATGGTAATATCATGACTCGATTGCCTGTTTATATCTTTCTCCTACTCAATTTCCATGCCACATCAATCATTCTTTTGACCCTCAAGTGGGCTGGAGTTGGAGTCTCATCTTGGATTTTGGGTTCGATTATCTTCTGGTGGTGCTATTTACAACTTATACTTTAGATATCTTACATCCCTTATTATTGCATGTTGCAATATTTTATTACCACTTTTTTGTATCTATAGGAGAGCTTCGGTTGGATTTTCTTCCAACACAATTAGGCTTTTGGTTGCAGTAGTGACTGATTCTTTTGCTAATTTTTTGTTTATGATTGATATATAATAAACTATATTGAGCATTCTAATTATAAATAAAGAGATTCAGGCATGTACAAAATTGAGATTCAGGCAGTAATGACTCCCAAGTATGGCAGTAATATTTATAAATAGCTTTTGAAACATTTAAGTTTCTGTTATCAACGATGTGAATGGTATATTTGCTATACTTATATCTGAAAAGATATGTTTGTTGTATACTTCAGTGTGCACATGTAATGGCTATGGCAGTTCAGAAAATATTCCCAAATTCCAAGGTTACAATTGGTCCTTGGATAGACAATGGATTCTATTATGACTTTGACATGGAGCCTTTAACTGATAGGGATTTGAAGAGAATAAAAATGGAAATGGTAAGAATAGTGTGAATCATGGTTTGAAGGCCACTTAATTTTTTAATTGGGATTTGCTTATCATTTCAGGGCACGGAATTTATTTCTTGCATCATCTGTAGGATCGGATCATTAAGCGCAATCTACCTTTACTGAAAGAAGATGTTTCCAGAGAAGAAGCTAAAAACAGAATATCAGCAATCAATGAGCCTTACAAACTGGAGATCCTGGAAAGCATCAAGCAAGATTCTATTACTATTTATCATATAGGTTTGATAAGCTATTTTATTTATAATCAAAAGTGTCAAAATTGCTCAAAGATTCTTTGCAGGGGGCATTTTAGTCCCAAGTCTCTCGAAGTGTCAATTTAGTCTTTAGAATTTTTTAATATGGGCTGAAATAATTCCTACGGAGGACTAATTAGGAGAACTATTTCAACCCCAATTTAAAATGTCTGGGAACTAATTTGACACTTTTATAGGCTCCGGGAGTAAATAAATAGTCGGGGAACTTGTTTGACACTTTTTATTTTTGTTTCTTTTCATTGCTTTATCTATCAGTCAAATCTTTGCTCATTAAGATCTACTGAAAACAGGAGATGAGTGGTGGGACCTTTGTGCCGGCCCCCATGTTGACTCTACTGGACATATTAATGCAAAGGCAGTTGAACTTGAATCAGTTGCTGGGGCCTATTGGAGGGGAGATGAAAATAGGCAAATGCTGCAAAGGATATATGGTACAGCATGGGAGACTGAGGAGCAGCTAAAAGCATACCTTAAATTTAAAGAGGAAGCGAAGCGGCGTGATCATAGGCGTTTGGGCCAGGATCTTGATCTTTTTTCTATTCAGGTCTTCTTCTTAATTTTAGAATTCTTATACTGTCAATTTTTCTAGCCAAATAGCCTTATGTGTTCTCATAAATTATGGTTATAAATATTTGGTTCTTTCTCACATGAATGGGTTGCAAATTCCAGTATCATGTAAACTTGACTAATAATTAAACAAGTTGACTTGAAAGGCTTATAAATATTACTGCCATACTTGGGAGTCATTACTATGGAACTAATTTGACAGATCTGCTCTTTTTAATATTTTAATCGGTTATATTTTTCTATGCCATGTTCATTCATCTTAATACTAATTGTTGAAAGCTAACCTTTAAACGCTTGGCAAGCATCATTGTATTTCTAGCTTCATGTTGGTGAAAAAACGACCTTCCAGTTAAGATCTTGCATTGTGTAATAATGTTAGTATTTATGATATCCTGCCAAAATATTTTTTTATTTGGATGAATGTTCTTTCTAGTTTAGTTATTTATTACCTCTTTAAATGCCTGGTAAATGATCATTTCATAAATTTGTATGATTAGATGTTTACAGAGTTTTTTTTTTTAGTTAACTGTCTTTCCTGTCTTATGATTTTGCTTTCCTATATGGTTTCATTTTTAATGTTTTTTGATCCTTTAATTGCCAGTTTTTCTTTTTTTTATTCTTTTCAATTGTACCGAGACCTTTAACTAAGACTATCTAATTCTTGGGTGCATTTTATAGGCAGATGCTGGTGGTGGCCTGGTGTTCTGGCATCCTAAAGGTGCCATGGTTAGGCACATCATTGAAGATTCATGGAAGAAAATTCATTTACAACATGGTTATGAACTTCTCTATACTCCTCATGTTGCGAAGGCAGATCTCTGGAAAATTAGTGGGCATTTAGATTTCTACAAGGAAAATATGTATGATCAGATGAATATTGAAGATGAACTCTATCAGCTTCGGCCCATGAATTGTCCTTACCACATTTTAGTTTATAAGCATAAGCTGCATTCATATAGGGAGTTTCCGATCAGATTGGCAGAGTTGGGAACAGTATACCGTTATGAACTCTCCGGTAGCTTGCATGGCCTCTTTCGTGTGAGAGGGTTCACCCAGGTTTGTCTTTCTCATGATTTCTGTGTATGATGGATCTAATATAGGAAAATATGGATTATTTTTAATTTTGATGTGAAATATGGTCATTTGTCAGTTTGTAAAGCCTTATCTTGTAGCATGTTCTATTATAATTAAGGTCCAATGATCATGTAATATGTGGACTATAAAATTGTGATTATTTAAATGAATTTGATGCTTTGCATGGCTTCTTCCTCTTAAAATTTGTTTCAAGTGCCTCCATCTTGGCTGTGCGAGATTTGTTTCTCTCTCTTCTATCTTCAATCATTTCAAAGCTTCCAGAAGTCTTCATTGTATCTCTCTCTCTCTCTCTCTCTACAGAAGATCCATGTTGTATTTATTGTTTATTATTGTTTATTATTGTTTGACGGCTCGTCATGTTAATAAATCTTTTACACAGCTTCCGTAATGAACTGACAATATTCTGCTCATGCAGGATGATGCACATATATTTTGTTTGGAGGAACAAATCAAAGATGAAATCAGGGATGTACTTGATTTGACAGAAGAGATATTGCTTCAATTTGGCTTTAGAAAATATGAAATAAACCTGTCAACTAGGCCACAGAAGTTTGTTGGCAGTGATGAGATATGGGAGAAAGCAACTAAAGCACTGAGAGATGCTTTGAGCGATAAAGGTTGGGACTACCAAGTAGATGAAGGTGGTGGCGCATTTTATGGTCCAAAGGTCGATCTCAAAATTGAAGATGCACTTGGGAGAAAATGGCAATGTTCCACTGTTCAGGTCAATCATGCAAAATTTTCTACATGTTATTTCATGAACACATTCTTAGAGATCAAAGCTTTCTTTTTTTTTAATCAAAATATCATTTTGATAGTAAGTAAAATTTACTGAGGAGCTTTTCTGTGTGACTTTTGCAGGTTGATTTTAACTTGCCTCAGCGCTTTGACATTACTTATGTAGATTCCGATGCTCAAAAAAGACGACCTATCTTGATCCATAGAGCTATTCTTGGGTCCTTGGAGCGGTTCTTTGGCGTCCTTATTGAACATTATGCTGGCGATTTTCCACTCTGGATCTCTCCTATCCAAGCTCGACTTTTACCTGTCACCGATTCTGAGGTATGATCTAAGCATGTATCGTTTGGTTTCTTTGTTAATAATTAAAGTATCTTGGCATTACAATTTACCATGTAGATTCTGAGCCTTTTTTTATTAAAATAATTAACCTAAACCGGAGCATGGGACTAGGAATGCAGGCCTTTTGCGAGTGAATGGTTTAAGAAGTGTGCATAATGTCAAATAAGTAATGGGGCACTTACATACCACCCAACACCTAAACTTTTGATTTTTACATTTACATCATGCAAATCTTTCATATCACATCAAAAATATCAATATTTTAACTTCTAGAAAGTGAAATACACCTTTTCATGCATAAGTAAGGTAGCACATATGGAAAAATTGAAGTTTAGATATTAGTTATTGTTATAAGTTATATTAGGAAATTATTTATTCATTAGAAGTTATAAGGAATAGATTTATTTCCTAATATAATTTTATTCTCTTTTCTATTTTATATTTAATTCCTTGGATTAAGAGTTATTTTCTTTCCTATTTTATGTTATTTCCTTTATCTCCAAATATTTAATATGAATTTATTAATTGGAAATATTAGGTGATATATTTTTCCCTTCTTATTATTTCTTTTTTATTATTTTTCCTATTCTAGGATTCATGTAATGGTTATTTATACCTCATCTTATATCAATGAAATAAATTTTCATTAATTCTGCATTATTCTGAATTTCAACATGGTATGAGAGTCTAATTCTAACCCTAGCCTCCATTCCTTCTTCCAGAACAACCAGACTCCCTTCCTTTCATCCTCCGTGCAGGAGGAGAGGGACAATCATCTTGGTATTTGAAACAACAAATTTTTCCTCTCTCCCTGTAGGGCTCTTGTATTTTTTCCTAGCAGTCCCCTCTAGCTATTTTTCCCAACCACTGGCCTGCTCTGCAGTCGGCTAGCCCTTCCAGATTTCCAACACAACCGCCGGTCTTCCCTGGAAGCAGCTACCGAACTTCCCTGCAAGCACAACCGACGGTCTTCTCCACTTGTTTTCTGTAGGTCCTTCTCACTGTTTTTTGAAGCATGCTCCTTGCAGCAGTCCGGCTTCCGACTTCCCTGATTTCCTCTGCTTGTCCAAATTTTTAGTCGGCTTCCCAATTTCCAGCAGTCTGACTTCCTTGATTTTCTGCAATTCATGGAGGAGGGAGTGGTTCTGGCCTTGGTTCCCTTCTCCTTGAGAGATTATTTGTCGGTTATGACAAAAAATCAAAGCTAGGTTTTACTGTTTACCCATCGCCCTAAGTGTCCATATCAGTTGTTGAGCCTTACAGTAGTGTCCTCTCCACACACTCCCTTCTAAAGCACACCGATGTTGCCATTCTCCTAGATAATGAAGCTATTTATGACATTTGCAGGCATTCTCTTGACATTATTGAGCGCACTACATACACCAACTTTAATCGGCTGGCTTCCCAGGTGATTTCATCCTTCACTGCCTCCCTTAGGTTTGATGTCGCACTGAACATGGATGTGACTTAGTTTCAGTCTAACCTTGTTCCATACCCGCGGATCCATTTCATGCTTTCATCCAACACTCTATTATCTCAACTGACAAAGCATATCACGAGCAACTCTCTGTTGTCGAAATCACCAACAGTGCCTTTAAGCCATCCTCCATGACGACCAAATGTGATCCCCACTATGGCAAGTACATGGTTTGTCGTCTCATGTATTAAAGAGATGTGGTGCCCAAGGATGTGAATGCTACTATTGTCACCATTAAGACCAAGCACGCCATCCAATTTGTTAACTGCTACTTGGCTGGCTTTAAGTGTGGCATTAATTACCAGCCGCCTACTGTTGTTCCTGGTGGCAACCTTGCCAAGGTGCAGAGAGCGATTTGCTTGATATCTAAGTCCACTAACTTTGAAGAGTTGTTCTTTCGCATCGATCATAAGTTTGATCTTATGTATTTAAAGCGTGCCTTTGTGCATTGGTATGGTGGTGAGGGCTCCATCGTTTCTTTCCTACTGCCCAAAAAACTTCATGCAGCTCCTTTTCTGCTACTTGAACTCTGCAACCGGAAGTATCCTGTTACATGCCCTCTTCAGTGCAGAGTGTTTTCCTCCAGAGTTTTTCCCCTGCGGCATGACCTCTGGAGTGTTTCTTGCATTAGGCCCTCTTCTAAAACTTTTTCCTACATCAGGCCCTATTTCGGAATCCTTCTTGCAGCGGACCCTCATCCTCCTTTAGAGTTTTTCCTTTTTCTGCAAGTCATATCTTGTAGGTTTTCCTGTTAGTTGTCTATTTTCTTGCAAACTTCCTTGCAAACTTCCCTGCAGCATTATCTATAGGAGTCTTCTGCTTAACTACATACACCGCAAGAATTGCAATGAGAAACGATCACAATTGTCCACTTTCCTGGAAATTTTTCTATAACATTACTTATAAGAGTCTTTCGTCTACCTACAGACATTGCAGGAGTTGCAAACAAAGTCAATCACAGTTGTTTACTTCCCTGCAAACTCTCTTGTAGTATTGCCTGTATGTGTCTTCCGTCTCCTACACACTGCAAAAACTGCAGTCAAAGACAACCTGTAACATTACCTGTAGGAGCCTTCTGCTTAACTATATACACTGTAGGAATTGCAATGAAAGACAATCACAATTGTCAACTTTCCTGCAAATTTCTCTATAACATTACCTGTAAGAGTCTTCCGTCTATCTACAGACATTACAGGAGTTGTAGACAAAGTCAATCACAGTTGTTTACTTCCCTGGAAACTCTCCTGGAGCATTACCTGTAGGTGTCTTCCGTCTACCTACACACTGTAGAAACTGCAGTCAAAGAAAACCGCAGTTAACTAGAAGTTAGATTGTTCTGCATGCTGTCTATTTCTCTGCAAATTCCTCTGCAACATTACCTGTAGTAATCTTCTACTTACTTAGAGACACTGCAGGAACTGTGGTGAAAGGCAACTGCAGTATGGAATGAAGATTTCAAGTTCTTCCTCACAGGATTTTCGTCGCTCATTGTTTATGATTTCAGATCTAAGTTGAACATAGTTTTCAACCATGTTTCAACTTGAGGGGGGTATTAGAAGTTATATTAGAAAATAATTTATTCATTTTAAAACTTATGAGAATTAAATTTATTTTCTAATATAATTTTATTTTTTTTTTCTATTTTATATTTATTTTACTGGATTAGTAGTTATTTCCTTTCTTATTTTAGACTTTTTCATTTTATGCTATTTTCTTTTTCTCCAAATAATTAATATGAATTGCTTAATTAGAGATATTAGGTGAAATATTTTTCTTTTCGTATTATTTCTTTTTTATCATCTTTTTTATCCTAGGATTCATGTAAGAGTTATTTATACCCTCTCATATCAATAAAATAAATTATGCTTAATTTCGCATTATTCTGATATTCAACTATTCTGAATTTCAACAAATATGTAAATACATTAGAATTGAGTGGTATGCATGTAAATCTTCATTAATTTGAGCATTTATATTGATACCACCTAAATTCCTATGTATATTCATGTCTAACATCTAAAGTTTACTTTTCACATTTATAACACTTGAAATTTTCATATTACATCAAAAAAGTGAAATAGGCCTTTTCATAAACAAGCAAG